AATGCAGGCTGGTACTGGTATAACAGTAAATGAAAATCACTGGGACAGAACAGGAAGGTCAGAGATAGACCCAGTTACATAAATAAATTTAATGTAAAATAAAGGCTGTATCTAAAGTCAGTGAAGAGATATTTTTCAACGAATGAAGTTAGGACAATTGAGTCACACATCGCATTTTACAGTATGATAAGTTCTAAGTGAATGCAATATTTAACGTTAAGAAGACCTAATAAACAAGAAAGTGCAAAAGTTACTTTATAATTACAGACCAGACACTATAAAGCATAAAACAAAAGACTGATTAAAAATAAGATCTACACCCAGTGAAAACTATCAATCTCAAAGTCCAAAGATCAATGACAAGCTGGGAAAAAGTTGGCAATTTTATTGAGGTTTTAGTTTTTCTACTTTTTAGGAAGCCTCACAAACTGATAAGACAAATATTAGCGTCAGAGAAATAGCGAACAAAGAATCAGTTTACATAGAAGAAAATTCACATGAAAAGATAATTTACTTTGCTTATAAAAGGAAAAGTGTAAAGTAAGCCTCCACTGAGATACAATTTCACCTGTGTAATTGGCAAAGATTCAGAACTTTGATAATGTCTGGTGTTGGCAATTGTGTGGGCATAAACCAATTTCAAATGAAGATAGCAGAAGGTGAATGGCAGAGGTCAGAACTACAGCTCATGCACCAAACAGACTGCTATGTGATTATGCTTTTGCAGCGTCCATGAGCTAAGAATCATTTTCACATTTTCAAACTGCTGAAAAATTAAAAATAATATTGTCTACTAAAACCTTGCTCAGTGTAGATTTTGGGTATTCTTACTATACACACTCAGAGAAGGTTACTGTGGAAGGTGATAGAAACATTCATGTTTCTGACTGTACTAATCATTTCACTACATATATATTTATATCAAAACACTAAATATATACAACAAAATAAATTTCATAAAATAAGATAAAATATTTTGAGAAGCATGTAAATTATATACAATTGAAATTTCATGTCCTTAAAGTTTCACTGGGACAAGGTTATGCTTATTCCTTTACATATGTCTATGACTGATTTTGTGTCACAGCAGCAGATCTGAGTACTTGTCACAGGGACTGTAGGGTCTGCAGAATTGAGAATACTTCCTTTCATACCTTGTGTAGAAAAAAGTTCTGACCTGCTGACTCCTGCCGTATGACTCAAGAGTATCTATCAAAATTATAGGGTGTTTTTGAGCTAATGAATTCACACCCAGGAATTCAGCCTACCCTGCATAAGTGTAAACTGACATACATTCTAAGATATTCGTATATATGAATCACATAAATATATACCAAATATATGCACATATTTGATAGTGCTGGAGATAAACTCAGTGTCTTGCGCCTGTAAAGTAAGGGACCTACTAGTTTGCAAAATATTGATGCACAAAATATCTAACAGTAAAGGACTGACTGTATCAGGGCTGTAAGATGTAATTTTTGTAAGTATAATAATAATAATATATAATTTATATATAAAGATGTATATATAAAATAATAATATCCAATTTATAAAGTATATCCATAGTGGAAATCTAAGCAATGTATACAATTATAAATATAAGAAAATTACTTATGCTATGGAATAAGGTTTATAATATAGTAAGTAGAAGAAGCAACAGAAAAGGATAGCTACAAAGGTGGATACTGACATGTAGGAAAAAATGGAAGAAAAAAATATATATATGCTCATATTTGCTTATGTCTACACCAATTTTCCCACAAGTATACACAGTATCTCTACAGATTACACAAGAGTATTGGTTGTCCTCTAGGTATATCACTCTAGGTATAAGTATCTGAGTCCTTGGAATCTCATAATTAAGAAATGCATTTAGAGAAGTGTACAAGGGTAAATGACAGGAAGCTGAGATTTGGAGTAGGAAAAGGCAGAGTGCCAGTTTCAATCCATGACTGACTTTTAGGAACTAATAGGATGTTTTCATTTGACTTTGTTCCACCTCAAAGAAACCCTACAGGGATGGTAAGAGGGAGAAGGCCAGGATGGTTATCAAACTGTGGAGCCTCACTTGTTAAATTTCTATCATGTAACTATGATTAACAGTAGTCATAATCCAAGTATGGAAGTGGCTCCAGAATGGGACTGAGGAGATGTGTCCATATTCCACCCCTATAAACACCTGCTTTCTTTGCTGTTATGTCCTGTTCTATTTTCTTAATTTTTCCTGGTGCAGCTGAGACAACAAGACAGGGTGGTCCCGGGATAGGGGTGCAGACACCTGGATCCTAGTCTTCCCTCTCCCCTGGACTTGCCCGGGAACTCTGGGATGTCCACGACCCTTTTCACCTTCTCAGTTTCCCGTTCCCAGGAAGGGACCTCTCCTGCTTGAGCAGGAGCTCCTGGTATCATATGAGGGTGTGGATGTCATGGGATTTGGATTTCCTTCAGACATGGTTTCTATAAATGTGTGTGTGTGCGTGTGCGTGTGTAATCTGAAACTCTCTTTATTCTGGCATCCGAGTCAGAACTTTCTATTATCTTTCCCTTTGTGTCTTCACCCTCAGACTCATCATGAAAGACTGGAAGAGGACTGGAACAGGAGGTAGAGTTCACCTCGTTCAAGATCATCAGTTTCCAAATGAACCCCTGAGGAACTGAACAACTCGGTCTGGACAGTGTTCAGACTTTAACATGCACAGGAGCCACGTGGGCCTCTTACTAACACACAGGTCCTGATCTATAGGTGAGGTAGGTCTGAGGTTCTGCATTTCTAACATACTCCCGGGAAACACCAATGCTGCGGTTCCATGGGTTGCACCCAGAGGACCAGGTGTGGATGCTGAGCTTCTCAGAGGCAGAGGCTGAATTTGACCAATTTTCCCCACCCATGTCCTTTGCTCTTTCCTATAGATGGTCTGATTGAGATGGGTTGTTGCAAGACTAAACACCACCAGCTGGGTAAGTTTTTGGTTAGAGTCTCTTGCGAGAAACTAAAAATATTTAGGGTTCCTGAGCTTCTTCACATTCCCAACTGGTTAATATTGTCTGAATCCTAGGAATTAGTATTTCAATAAGACACCCTTGTTATTTAGTGCATTACTAACTTTTGGAAGCCATTATGTAAGAATATTAACAGTTTGTAAATATTAAATTAGACTGACATAAGCTCAGTTTTAACTTTCTTTTCTTCTTTCTCTTTCTTTCTTTCTTTCTTTCTTTCTTTCTTTCTTTCTTTCTCTCTCTCTCTCTCTCTCTCTCTCT